CTCTTGGCAGATCTGAGAAAGCATATCATGTTATGTCGGGCATATCTGCAAATGAGGCGTGCGGATGAGAACTAGACAGAAGGTTTACAGAGAAATAATGCTGATGTCATTCTGTTGGAATGAAGGGGTTGTTACAACCATAAATACATTCTATAGCTCGCAGCTAAGTGTCTAGCTGCATTTCTTTTCTAAGATGGAAAAAATGTGAAGCAAACCAAAGAAGTAGATTGTGTTTATAAAAGGGGATATTTTAATTAGTTTAGGCCTTACAGTTATTCAAACAGTCTGAACTTACAGTTCTTTGTGGAGCAAACATGAAAACCATTATTTGTGGAAAGTTTAAATTTCACATGACACATATTCCATCTATGTGTGTGGGTTGTTGTTTTGTTTTGTTTTTCTTAAAAAAAAAAGCATATTTGCTTGCTTGTATATTTTTATTTTAAGTTTCCCTTTGCTAAAAAATGCTTTATTTTCTTGGGAGAAGATTTGTTTTTTGGGAGAAGAAACATGTAAGTTACTGTGCAGAAGCCCCCTTCCCCTTTATTTGGCATTTGCAAATTGAGTGGTTCTCAGCTCATTGGGATATGTTTAAATGAGAGGCTTCCCTCTTGACTCCTTTTAAAGAAATTACCTGTCCCCAAAAGTGTCTGTATCTGTGAAACAAAACACCTATTCTCTCTATGAAGCCCTGTCTACGAGTACCTAGTAATCCTTCTTTACTGATTGGCAGTCTTCACTGCAAGGAAAAGGCTTTCAAATATTAGGAAGGTAGTGATGTGAAAGGTGGGTTGTCCTGTCCATCCACGTCAGCCATGGTGGCAACGAAAATCAAAGCAGGTAGAAAATGATTTTGATCTGTTGGCTTAGCTCCTGGCAGCTTCAGTGCAAGGAGAAAGAAATACAAAGTTGACCTCTAAGATCTGCCTCTGTATTAGTTGACTTGCTACAAACCAGAGGGAAGAACGCAGGCCTGATGATGAAAAGAACCTTGTCCTACAACCTTGTGCCAGAACCTGGCTCCCCCCACCCCACCCCACCCCTTCTAGGACATTCTGCTCTTCAGTTGTCACGCACCAGATTCTTTAAGGAAGTAAAGACAGAAACAAACGAGACCTAGTTTTCTCTTTAACTTGATATAAAAGATTTACTGAAGGCAGGTCACCAGAACTGTTCTTTCTGGTTTCGTTTGGAAATTTTTGTGAGAGCATTCACTACTATTTATCTGTCCTCATGCACGATACAGCATGTGTGTGCATGAGCTCGAGGCGAAGGGAGAACCACAGGGGTAAAGAAAGCAGGCGAGCAAGCGAAAGCTTCATCCAAACTCTGGAATCTCCTGGATAGCTGAGCTCCAAAGCTGTTGAATGGAAAGGGTGATAATTTGTAGACTGCTCCGAGGCACAGTTCAATTTAGCTTTGTGAGAAGCAGGCCAGGGTCTGAGAGAACTGGGTTATTCAGGTGGGAGAGTTGTGAATTTTGGCATCCCATAAAGGACTGCTAGCTTTCACACGTGAGTTTACTTTACATGTGTAAGTAACTGTCACTTTAGCTCGGTTGAATGAGTTTTATTTTCACTCTTGTGTGTGCACATTGTATGCCTGGCATTTACTCTTTTCTCCTAGTCTGGGGCAGCACAAATGGAAAAGTGTTCAGTAAATGTGGTATGAATGCATTTTTCTCTTCTTTCTCTGTATTCAGCATTTAGAATCTTGAAAGAAAGAAAGAAAGAAAGAAAGAAAGAAAGAAAAAGATAGAAAGATAGAAAAGGAATCCGGTCTGGCTTTGAAACTGCCGTTTCTCCTGATATAATAGGCCAGTGAATGTCCCTTTACTACCTTTCCTTCCCTCGCCCTGCCCTTTTTAGTTTTGATCTTCTCAGAATCCTTTGTTTATTTGGCTCCATTCATGACCTGCTTTTTCTTCTTTTCTCACATACCTTCCCTCAGATCCAAAGGCCTTTGCTCTATTTATTTGACAGCTTTCTTAGAGATGGAAAAAAAGAAAAGAAAAGAAAAGAAACAAGCCCAACAACCCAGGCTCTCTGATGGGACCTGGGGGTGGGGGTGTTCTGCCGCCACCTTCTTGCTTCCATGCGTATACCCACCCCCCTCAGGCCTCGGCTCTTCTCTCTCCACGTGCTCGCCTTCGCCACCCCCAGAGCCTTACTCATTTGTCGCCCGTGCGGTCAAAGGTTCTGCTTGCTTTTGGGCCACACACTGGTCTGTGGCCCTAGGGAGATGTGTCTGCTGGCCTGGCATCTGTTGCCTCCCTCATTCCTCCTCCTCATTTCTCAGTCACCAATGACACCTGCATGTGTAGTGTTCAGCCTCAGAGGTGAAAACCGTGATGCACAGAATAGACTTGGGCCCTGCCCACTGCTGTGAGGCGGAGTGGAGACTGTCCATCTTGCTCACAGTGGTGTGCACATGAGCCAGCGGATGGTGCCCTGAGCAGCCAGCACGTACCTGGGTGCTCAGGAAAGGTCAGCTTTCCTCACCGTGATCACGGACAGACTGGAACAGTCCTGACCTCCCTTTGGAAGTTGCTTTTATCCCATTCTGGACCTTTCACTTGTATTTCTGGCGCTTAACCTGAAACCCATTCTTTCCTGTCTTAAACAGACACCCCCCCACCCCCAATCCAACCTCCTTTTCCATTTTTCCTTTTTCTGTCAAAAGCCTGACCATTTTCTCCTGTTATCTGTGTTTGAAAGCTGGCGAGGGTGAGGGGGCTTCCATTTTTGTGGGACAAAGTGTCCCTTTTCACTCCTTTCTTTCATGCCCTATATCTAGTACACAGTCCTGAGGATTCTTCTTTTGCTGAGTTCTTCAGTTCTTCTCCTCGTCTTTGTTGAGTAGGTGATTATCTCCGTTCTAATCTAAACCTTCATTACCTCAAGGATAGGGTCTGGCTTTGGGCTTCTTGTCGTTGTGCGGTTGTGCCAGTGACTGCAGAAGGAAGCAGTGTAGCTAGTGATGAGAGCGTTTGAAACCATAGGGTCCTGCAAACTCTGGAGTAACCAGAGATTCAGAAAGTTTCGTCTTTAACAAGGGAACCAGTTCATTTATTGCAACTGTGCTTATTTTTATTTTATATTTTTTATTTTTACTGACAGTTAACTTCTCAGATACACATTACTTATAGTTTCCTTAATTACAAGAGGCTTTCCAGAAAGTGTGAGGGTTATGTCTGTGTTTGACTTATAAACTGTTATCTACATCTTAACGGAACTGGGACTACGTGATTATAAACGAGCTTGTCATTTGGTCTTCTGAAGGTGAAGTTCCTCAGTTGTAATTTAAACACCTGTATTGCCGCCAGCCGGTTTCTTTTTCTCACCAAAGTAGAGGTAAACACATTCTCCTAAGTAGAATGCAACAGGAAAGAAAGGAACTGATCCTTTTAAAGTTTAGGGTGGTGCCAGCTTCTTTACTCAGACTTGGTTTCGCTTGTTACACAACAAAAATACTCACTATCTGATTCTTCACGGGGGAAAAAAAAATTATTTTGAGTCTTGTAGCATTGCTGTCTTCCTAAAATGTGTATTTAGCAGGAAAGACAAGTAATAAACAAGGGAACACACAGACAAGAGGATTTCCAGATTTTGGTAATCAAGAGAGAGGAAATAAATGGCATGTGAGAATGACTGGAGGCTGGGCAGGGGGTAGGGTTGAGGCAGGATTCTTGTAGAGTGACTTTGAGATTAGACTTGAGCAATGAGTATGAATAACCCTGGGGAAGAGCTGAGCCTCCTAACCTCTCACCCCCAGTTCCACTTCCCTCCTCACCTCCAAATGCCTGCTTGTCCACAGGGGCAGCGAGGTTTTGGTTCTCAGGTAGCTTTCTAGAATGCTCTGTTTTGGGTTATTTATATCAAAGCACCTATCACATGGAATTGCCTCTTGCTTTCATTTCCCCCCCATTAGACTTGAACTATTTGAGGGTGAGGACGTATGCTCAGCAATCCTGTAACTCTAGCATTTACCTCATAAACTAGGTTTAACAGTTAAATAGATCGGTAAGTTCAAAATTAGATTACATGAAGTAGGTTGTGAAAGTCGGGAGGTTGGTTCCTCTACAACACATAGTCTTAAGTTTAAAGTCTCTTATTAACTTTTTTTAATACACATTCTTCCCTCCCCATCCTCTCTGCTTCAAGCACGTTTCCCCTTCTCTTTCTAAAACAGTTCTTGCCCTCCTGCAAAACCTTCCCACTTCCCCATCTTATTTAAAGACATCACCATCCATCCAGTTGATCAGGCCCAAAACTGGGACATATCCTTGATTCTTTTCATTCCTTCACCCTTGATTATCACACCCAGTCCTCCAACACCTATACCTCTAAAACCAGTTCTATTCTCCCTGTCTTTCATACCACCCCCAGCCCAGGCGACCTCTGTCCTCCACCCAGACAGCACAGCAATGTGCTGACTGATCTCTCCAGGAAGTTCCATGCATACTTTCTATATGTCCATTATTCATGCAAAACCAAACAGGTCTTCTCAGACTTGGGGAAAAAAAAAAAAGACCATGTCAGTCCCTCTCCTTAAACATGTCAGTGGCTGCCCATTGAACTTAGAATAAAAATTGAACTAAAAAATCTGAACTCACAGCCCTGGATGAATTGGCCACTGTCTCTTCAACCTCATCTTTTCATATGGCCTCAGCTTCTAGTGATCCAGTCTCTCCCTTCTTCTTAGGACCTTTTATTTTCTGTTGCCAGGGACATTATTAAATGGAACTCACTGTTAATCTCATCAGCTTTGTGAATATGTAAACCGGTACAGTGGCAGGTTGGCACAGCCTCAGTGAGATCCCCACCCGGGCATCATTGCCATTCCCGATTCGTCATTATCCTGTGTGTGGTACCAAAAGTTCATGGTCACAGGCAGCTGACTCCATGGTAGCACTAGTTAAAGCCCTTGGAGAAGGAACTGGACAACCTCATTACCTTCTACTGGTATTAACCATTCTTCTTTTTTCTTTTTCCATGCAGAGTATGAGTTGGAAGTAAAGAGGGTGCAAGACATTCTTTCAGGAATAGAGAAACCACAGGTATGTCTTCTGGATTTCTCAGCATAAATGACACATTCTTAAGCATTTCAAGTGTGCTTTTCTTTCACCACATAGTAGGTAAACAAAAGGGCCCCTTCCTATTGCTGATTATTTATAAACTATGAAACAGTGTTGTTATTAATGGAGCATGAAAATACAGAACAGCAGTCTTTCTATTCAGTCATAAAACACCAAAATGTCTTCTCTGTTTAGGTATTCTGGATGCAATTAGGTATTCTTTCCTACTTCAAGGATACATACCGTCCCCCTCACACCCTCCCCACCACAGGTCCACAGAACAGTTTTCTTTTGATGATTTCCTTTAGCCTGTGTAAATGTAGTAATAATCATTTTTTAAAACCTCAGTGATTCCAAGTATTTTTCCAGGTAACTTTCAAAAAGGTATTTAAATGTTAGTTGAGAAAAACTAAGTCCAAAATATTGAGTGTAATGGCAAGAAGAAAAATTGGTAGGAATGATGATATTGTGAGGTTTTAAGTTTGATTTTGCCAAATGCTTTGAAATTCAAGCAAAAAATGCAAACTGTTGACTCAGCCTTTCATCTGAGGTGAGAGAGCCAGTGTTTTGGATGTTTTCCGGCCCAAATGGAAAACCTTGATCCTTGGTGTGTTTCAGATACTGAGGCTTTTTAACAGAAGAATTCACACATGCCTCAGGGTACACAGTTGACTTTGACTAACCCTAAAAGCATGAGATATGTTGGAGGACGGGGACAGTAGGGAACTTACCGAGGAGTGGGGTGTCAATGTTGGGTTGTGGAGTCTGTCCTGACTCTGGTAAGGAGCAGGTGGACATTGCAAGTTTCTGAGCAGAGAAGTTACGCAGTCGGGGCTATTCAAGCTGATGAAACCATTGACAGAGGCACTGGATTGAGAAGAGATTGAACCCAGGAAGGCAAGCCTCAGGAATCCATTACTGTGGTGTCAGTAGAGGCTCTAGGAGGCAGAATTCAGATGGTGTTCCCCGGCATTGCAAGGAGAGAACGGAGAGCCATGGAGAGACCTCAGTAAGGTGTTACAGTCTATCGGATACTTGGTGTCACAGACTGCTGAGCTCTCAGGCTTTGATGCCTCCTGTGAAGAGTGGCTTCCTCTGAGAGTCTCCCTGGATTCCTGTCCCTGCCTGTCAACTGGGATTCTCCACACAGTATTTAGAACCACTGTTACTCCCCCAGCCTCTCTGTGCCCTGCCTGTATGTACATAATACATCGTACGCCATTTACTTGCTGCCGCTTCTTCCCTGGTCATTTGTGAGTCCTCTAGAATGGGCTCCTGTCTGTGTCCTTTGTGTATCTTCAGTGCCACTTTTAGACGTGTGGAGTTTGTTTCACTAGCAGGACACCCTGGGAGGTGAAGCCGGCCGGCGGTCAGTCGTAGGTGCCTGGTGGGTCAGGGCTGTGGAGAGAGGGGAATGAGACCTTGATGAGGAGATCCCATTGCATGGAGTTAGGGTTCAAGCAGAGCACTGGGTGACAGCTTGGGGGGATGGGGGTGGAGCATGGAAAGAGATTGGAAAAGTCTGGGGGACAGAATCGTGGGAGAAGCTTATACTTGTGGTACAGCAGAATGAAGAAAACTCCATGAGGGAGGCAGGCGTCAGAATCGGAGCGCAAAGGCAGAGCCGCCAGTTAGTTGAGTGACTCAGCACAGTCACAAAACTCCACAGTCCTGCCTTGCTCACGTGTACACATACACGTGTCTTGTCTTGAGTTACTCCTAGTCGTTTCCTGACTGCACAAGCAACAGAGTCTGTGTTTGTTCGGATCATGTGGCTCTGGCCAGATAAGAGCACTATGGAAATGCTTTAGTCCTTCCCTTGATTCAGCATTTATTGAGCACTTACTCTTTATGGATCATAGAGCAGCTTTGAGGTAAATGGATAGGGCACGAGCTGTAACATTGATAGGATTGTCATCTGAGTGGCCAGAAAGTCCAAAGTGGGTCTCATTTGGCTAAAGTCAAGGTGTTGGCAGGCCTGCATTTTTTCCTGGAGGCTCTGGAGGGAGTCTGTTTCCTCACCTTTTCCAGCTGCTTCTGGAGTTCACCTGGATTCCTCGGCTTGTGGCCCCATCCATCCTCCTACCTCCTTCTCTGATTTTCCTTCCTCCTCCATTCACTTATAAGGACCCTTGCTATTACATCAACCCCACCCAGACACCCCAGGATTGTCTCTGTCTCACATGGTCCTTCAGTTAATCACATCTGCAGAGTCCCTTTCACCTCGCAGGGCAATATATTCATACGCTCCAGGGATTAGGATGTGGGCGTACTTTGGGGGTCGTTCTTTTTCCCCTGGTCCCCACATAGACCTTGTCTGCTTGGTGATTGCCCCCTCATCCTTCCCAGCTCAGTTAGTTGTTTTACACATTTTTTTTCTCCCTCCCCTCCTCTCCCTCCTAGTCTCACCTCCCCTGTCTCTATCTGGAGTTCTTATTCATGATTGTGTCTCTTATTTATCTTTGTGCCTCTGATACCTAGCGCGGTCCTTGGCACATTGTGAACCCTTAACAAATATTTGCTGACTAAATGTGGGGCCGACTGTGGGGGCTGCCGCTAGCTTCCAGCCAGGGAGACAAATGCCTGAAGGCTGGCCGCCATCAGACAGGGCTCAGCCAGCAGTGGTGGAATGTGGGACAGCTTAGTGCCAGAGCTCGGGGCAGCAGCATGAGGAGGAGGGACCTCTGCTTTGCAGTCTGGCACTCTGGGCCATGAACTGTCTCTGTGATCTTGGGTAAGTGACATGAGCACCCCCCCACCAAGCCTCGGTTTCCTCACCTTTGAAAGGTAGGACAATAAATAGCACCAGGGCTATGAGAAGTAAATCATATGTGGTGTGTACAGGACTTGGGATGGAACACCTCTGTGTCGTGTAGAGCGTGTCATTATGTGAAAGTGAAATTCCCTGCTCCACTCTGAAATGGGAAAGGGGTGCCTGGCCACTTCCCAGAGAAAGACCCAGAGCAGCAGCAGTTGGGCTCTTTTTAAATTTGTTTTTCATTTCAGCCACGTCCCATAACGCCTCCCAATGAGAGGCATATATTTTTCTTTGAGATTCTGCAAATGATTTGTTTTAGGTGTATTAAAGGTTTTTAGGATTTGTTGATTCCAGCCATCTTTCTAGAGCCTCGAGCCCCCTGAATTAAGCGAGTCATTGGCTCTCCAGAAACCGGGATACTATAGAGGCCCAAACAACTTAGCCATTGAGTAAAAACAGGGTACAGATTGACGAGGTATTTGTCCTGAGACTTGTAAGAATTCGGTGCCTTGGGATCTGCAAGGCATCTGTGGATCTCAGAAACAAGGTTGCTGTTATTCTAAGTGACTTCGGAAGAAACCCCGGTCAGTACGTGTCACCTCCAAAGCCAGCGCGGTTTAATCTGCTCTGATAACAGTGCTGGATGTTGTCCCCCACATACTGCTGGACTGTTTATTTTCAGGGTGCAAATAAATGTAAGCTGCATTGTTCCCATTCACTCATGTTTAGCTTGTGGAAACAATTGATTTGTCGGTTTCAGAAGTGAGTAAACTGACCTAAGAGAAACAACTGTCCCTCCAAGAAGCCATTCCTCGAAAAAATAATCAGTATATCTGAAAAGATTCAAGGTTGTTAGTACTTAAGGAATGATAGAAACAGATTGTGAAACCCTAGATTTGAGTATCTTTTTTTTTTGAATAATGATCTCTGACCTTTGCCTTTTAAATTTTCCATTGTGTTATTATTTTCATGATGATACTTTTGAAGTGAAGCCAATATTTCCATGGTAATATTTCCTTAACGTACTCCCTAATTGGATCTGCAGGCCTCCCACATAGTTAACTCCAAAGTCCTGACCAAATTTAGAAGCTACTGACTTACATAGAAAATATTTTTTTAACATGGGATGAATAATTTAGTAACTTTATGAAAATAAATGGTATTTTTGATCCAAATAATGAGCATCATTTGCATATGATATAATTTAAGAATTAAGATAGTAAAATTTTACAGAAAAGTTTTAAAATACTGAATGAACAGGAGAGAAAGGGGGACAAGGAGAAGGAGAGCTAAAGACCATATATCAAACACCTACCAGATCAGGCATCTTACTTCCCAGTGTGTATGCACATATGTATGCTTTTACCTAGCAACTACTTCGAGTTGGAGTCTACATTTAATTAACACAGAGAACAATGATTTTTAATCATTATGTAATTACTTAGAAGTAAATGATGGTTTTATGAATCCTTCTAGATCCTTCAAAGCAGTTTAATTCCTCAGCAGGCTTGCACTGGTAACCTCCACAACAAACCCATTTACATCTCTGGTGCCAAAGCAAGTGTCAGCTTGGGTCTTGTCCACTGATCCTGTAACTAGAAATTACCACTTTTATCATCATCGTGAAGGAGATCGACTTCAGTTTGCAGTAGAAAAATTAAACATCAGGAAGTCAGTTTCATGGCTTCTACACTTTTTTTTTGGATGTCAGCCATGACGATCCTTGTGATAGTCAGATTAGCTTTCCTGAAGAAGCCCTGAGCCAGCCAGAGTTCTTAGAGCCTGAATCTCTCATTAGGGTCACCACCTCCCTGGACACCTGGAGTAGGCATCTGGTGCAGAGGATTCCCCTTTATGCGACATTCTCTTGAAAGGCACCGTGTCTTCTCCTGGCATCCTCCTTGAAATGGAAGTGAGTTCCAAGTTGTGCCAGAGACAAAGCTCTCTTTCTGTCCGGATTCCAGCGCCTAAAGAAAGGAAGCCTGAGGCCTGGGAGTCTGCATGAGGGAGGCAGCAGGAGCACAGGAGGGAATGTTCTCCTGCTTCTGCGACAGTGCTAGTCAGCTAGGTGGCAGGCCGCTTAGCTCTAGGAAAGAATTCCCAGAAGCCACAGTTGGCTGTTCTTTGAAAATGCTGGACCGTTCTCAGCACCTCTGAAAGCCTGGCCCGTCAGAGGAGCGCACGTGAACGGAGATCTGCGTTCAGAGGACCCTTTGCCTGCTTCAGTCTTGCTCAGGGAATCTGGAGAAAGGGGGAGCGTTGTTTTAGTCAGTGTTTCAAGGGCTGTACGTCACTCTTGCATTAATAATTGAGCTAAGTATAAGTTCTTAATAGCTGATGGAAAATAATTTAGAGGGTTGTGAGCTTATGGATACTTGTTCAGTATCTAACGCACTAGCATTCGCCAAGCTACTTTGAAACTTGATGTTACTTCGAATCAGTGTTCATCGAATCAGTGTTACTCCACTCTGTTCTTGGAATTGTGCACAGCAGCGATTTTCAGTACATAATGAGCCCTCTTTTGTAATTGTAAACTAAACTCTTCGTAGCAAAATATCTCCAAGTTAAAAATCAAATATAGCACCCAGTACCTCAAGATGACCCATTAATGATGTGTCCAAGAATTCAGCAGACACACTGGTGTGTATGTTGTAGAAATACTGCCTTAAACTCTGTCTAGTCAGGAGAACCAACACACGAGTTACCAAGGAAGGGCTATGTGAGGAAATGACTGCTGGGCACAGGTACCAGCAAAACGTGGCCAGGGCACAGAGAAAACAGTGGTTGATCCTGAGCGGGGTTCCAGGCAGGGGTAGACAGAAACCTTTCCTGACTTGGTCTCAGGCTGCTGTGGGTCTCTCTGTGCTGTGTATCTGATGTGAGAACATTTCCCACATGTCAGTCTTCTCTTCACTCGGTTGGTAGTTTTTGAGGCAGCAGTCCTAGGTTAGAAAGTAGGAAAGTCAAGAGCTAAGTTATAGGTGGAAGGGAATGGCATCCTTGAAGGGGTGGTATAGGGCAGGAAGGGCAGATGGCAAGAGGAGATGCTTGTCTGGAGCCATAGCAACAAGGATGGAGTTTGATTCTGTAACCATGTCTCCGATTTTTTAAAGAGGTGTGTAATGCTGGTCTACCATCCACTGTGTCACCTGTATTAAAAAAAATCAGAGTATCATAGCCCCTTTGGTTTTGTTTTTCAGCTAGCAAACATTTACTAAGCCACGACTACTCACAGTTGACTAGGACTTGAGTCCTGTCCTTATGGAGTCCCACAGTCCAGTGGGAAAGGGAGACAAATGCCATAATGTGATTTATGATAATAAGAATATTAACAAGTTGCTGTAGAACAGAGGGGTGGTGATAGGTGAACTACTTCAGGGAAGGTTACTTGGGAATAAGAAGGCTCGGCTGATGTCATGAATGACGCGTAGGAGTTAGACTAAAGAATTGGTTAAATATATCATGAAGCTGTGTCTGTACGGAGCAGAAATGGTACGGAGGGATCTCTGCGAAAAATGGAACGAACGACAGACTCTCAAAAAAAGATTGGAGTGCCCCAGGAAGCACTAGTTAGAGTGAGCACCTGGGATGGAAAGGCAGGAAGCCCACAACAGGGTCTCTTACTGAACAGCTTACAGCTCCGGGTGGCTGGAGCCCCATCCTGCTGAGAACGGCAGGCACGTGGGGTGGAACCTGCCTCAGTGGGGTCCTAAGTAAGGGAAAAAAGCTGGCATGTTTGAGGGTGCCAGAGTCCTCTGTTCAAATGAGGTCTTACACAGAAGCTGCACACACACACATACACACCACCACCACTAGCTGGGAGGAGGTGAACCACCACCTAGGCACCCATTTCAGCCCAGGGCTGGGTCCCACTCCCCCCATCGCTAAGTTCTTCTGGGAGCTGAGGCCTCCAAGAAGCCTGGTTTGAAAGGTACTGGCTTTGGCAGCTGGGAGGCCTCCAGAAAGTACCTGCGGACAGGGCTCCTTCCAGGTAATGAGATGTTCATCACGGAGATCATGAAAGTCTCACATTCAGCTTTTTACCTTTAAAAAAAATTCCCACACAAGACTGATGATTTTACTTTCTGGAGGATCAAATGTGAATTGCGTTAGGAGAGATATTCCAGGAGCTATTGTGGACATCAGGATCTAGACCATCCGTGTGATGGTTTTTGCCTTGTCATTAAAATTGTTTACCTTACGTTAACTCCCGAGCCTGTCTCAGGCCACTGCTCATCATCACAAAAATGTTACTGCAAGATGTAGTGTCTGAATAATTTCCTCTGTGTTTGTTTTTCCTCAGGTTTCTAACATTCAGGCGAGAGCGGTTGTGCTGTCCTGGGCGCCCCCTGTTGGACTTTCATGTGGGCCCCATAGCGGTCTTTCTTTCCCCTACAGCTATGAGGTCGCCTTATCCGACAAAGGACGGGATGGAAAGTACAAGATAATATACAGGTAGTCCATGTCTCCACATGTTTTCTACACTGCTGAATGGTGAAATCGGAGTCATTAGGGAAAATCAGAAACAGGAAGAATTTAGAGGCTTTGCAAACTTTTCTTTAAATAGTTCATTTTAAGAGTTAGTGATAATTCTAATGGTAGGAGTTATTTTTGTCCAGAGTGATTGCCGATCAGAAATGACTTTTGTAGTTATTTGGTGTTGATGAGCTATTACTTGGTTATGTTAGCCTGTCAATATAGGACTAATGGAAAATTTCCATGAATGCCTATCAGGGTAAAAAGTGAGCATGACTTTGAATTTTTAAATACATATCAGTCATGCGCTCTCATGATTGATTACCTTTTTTTAGACCCAGACGATTTTTTAGTCTGATTTTTTGAAATTCTGTATTATGGTTTCCTTCCATTTCATTCTATTTCTTACTCTCCACAAGAGTTTTCTAGCCTGTAGTAAAGATTGCTTGAAAGCATTTCAGTCCAAGGCTTCCTAAATAAGTATAGCTCAGAGTAAGGAATCATCCCACACCACAGAAACCAGGTCACACCAACTCACTCCCAGGTGAGGACACTGTGGTGATTCCCCATTGTACTTAGAATAAAATCCTAACTCCTTACTCCAGCTCACATCCATTTGGTTCTGTTTTGAGAAGTTGAAATTTGTAAAGAAATGCATAGAGCACCATTTTTCCCAGCTGCTCCAAGAAACAGTGAGGTTCTGTCCAGTCTAGTGCAGGATGACCACGAATGGCAGGAGCTAGCCTCCAGCGCCCAGGGGGGCTAGGTCAATGACGTAAGTGAGGAAGGTTGGGAGTGAGGTGAGCAAGAGCTTTCCTGCCTTCCTCTGAAAGCACCAGCCGCCACTCATGTCAGGCTGTTATCGTAAGGGAATACAGCTCTAGAGTTGCCGATTTCTTTGGATTTTTTTTTTTCTAAGAAATACTGGAAATCTGAATTGTTACATAAGCTTTGCTAATGTCAGACTCATTCAGCAAACTCAAAAACACTAAGGATACAGTGTAGGTCAAACTTGAGAACTGTAGGCACCGTGTGGACACTGGCTTCCAGTTTGCAACTTTAAAAAAAGTGTTACTGTTTGAAATAACATCCAACTTATAAAATGTTGCAGAAATAAAGAGACAAAGGAATTTACCCAGATTTCACCTATTAGTATCTTTTTATTTTCTTTGGCTTACTTTTGGAGTTATTCTTTCTCTCCCATTTTTGCTCTCCTCCCAACCTGTATTTTTTCCATTAGTTGTCTATCACGTGTCCTTTTACTGCTAAATACTTCGGTATGTTTCCCAGGAGTAGGGATATTTTCTTACACAGCCACAATGCGATGACTAACTTCAGGAATGTACGTTGATAAAATACTTCAGTCTAGTCCATTGTCCACATTCCAGGTTTATCTATTCGTTAAATACTGTCCGATAGCGTTTTTCTTCCCCTGAAGTACAGAATCTTGTACAGGGTCTGATATTATGGGTTCGTGGCCATATGTCTTTCACCTTTAACTTGGAACACTGGCGCAGGATTTGTCTTTTGTGACCTTGACCTTTTCTGAAGAATATAGTCAGGCCCCCACCCCTCACCTTTTAAAAACTTTTAATGGAACATTCCTTATTTTATGTTGGCTGTTGCCTTGTGATTAAGCTGCATTGCATTTGCAACTTCTGATCATATAAGTGGTTTTGTTTTATGTAAGCAAGTATTGATTTGTCAGAGAGCAATTAGTATTGATATGTGAGGGAAGCACATGGAGATTTCTTCAAGAGAGTAGAGAAGTTGAAGTATTTGGGGTTCCTGCCAAGGTCAGTCTGAGAGCTACCTTCAGTGGACAGCTGGTGTAGTTATTTTACACTTCCATTTATCTCTCTATTTAATTTCCTTGCTTACTTGTTTTTATGTATTTACTTTGAAGTACTGATAAGACCTTTTGGAACTTTGTTAGTAAGTTAACCTTGCCATTTCCCGGTCTAGGGTGACATCATTAAAAGGAATCTAATTTGCTAGTCCAGAAGGGTAATAATACCAGATAGGCAAGATTATTTCTGGTTTATTGTGGTATCAGACATGAGTTCTGGAACCATTGCTCTACATGACTGTGAGACCCAAATCTAAAACCTGTCTTAACTGTTGAAACTGATATCATTGACTAATAGATAATTTTTCTTTGCAGTGGAGAAGAATTAGAATGCAACCTGAAAGATCTCAGACCAGCAACTGATTATCATGTGAGGTGAGTTAGGATATGAGACCTGACCTGTGTTGGAGAATTCAGATTGCTAAAATAGATCATGTGCTCCTTTTAGGAAGTTTTTGGGTAAGGGCACTTGCCTAACGGAAAGTTGTGCTCCCTTAGCTCTTTGGCCATATGTTAGTGCTGTGCACTTGAGAGATGGTAATTGGGGAGTAAACAGAAGGCTTCTGATAATTGAGAACTAGATGATATGCTGAATGGAATTTTTAAAATGATTTTTAAAGTAACTTTTATAGAATCTTCTAAGATCTACTGGAATATATGGTTTCACTTACAGTATTTCCTTTCTGTAAAAAAAATGAATATTTTGCCATTGGTGTTTCAGTTGTTTGTCAAGCCCCTTCACATATAAATATATATAAATACATAAATTCAGCACAAATGAGTAAGTCTTGCTTTGTTGCAAGAATACCTTTGGGCCTTAAGAGACAGTAGGTTTTGAAATGAGACAAGTAATGCAAATATCTAATAGGCATTAACCCAACTTGGCAGAACCATGAATCTATATAATCTGATACGTAGTCTGATATCTCTACTCTGATTTTTCTGGAATCTCTGCTGGGACTACTATAATGGGCAGAACTAACTAATCTTAGGAAGAAGCCCAGCCAACCATAGACTTGTGAAGAGGAGAGTATTACATGAACTTTTACAGAGCTCACCTAATCTTTAAAGATAGATTCACATATCCATTTGCAAACAGGTCTCTGAAGGTGGTCCGTAACATTTTTTAAATTTCAATTTTAACTTAAAATTTTACGTAATTTGTAAGCTGACCAGGAATTATAATTTTATCTAAAAGAACACATAACAGCAGATTCTGTCTTCATTCTTTGTCTATGTATGTGTGCATCAAAGTGTGTAGTACAGTTGCAACACCAAGCATACATTGTTTATTATACTTTCCAAAGGTTCCTTCGTGATGGAGTGGAGGGAGTATCACCTAGTAGGGAGAGTACATATCAGTTGCCAGGTGGCTTAAGTTCGAGTCTCTTTCTGCCATGAATTGACTATTTTAACTGTGCTTAATCACACAATATTCTCTCTAACAAAGGTAGGGAAGTAGCAATTATGTGCCTTATTATATTATATATGCCAGATTATATATATGCCTTATTAGCCACATAAGTGTTTAAAACTAAATGTAAAGCCATACATGAAAGAGCAAGGTGTTCTATATTTCGTCTCAACGGGCTTATCTGCCTGGTTGTTACATTGCTCAGAACTGTGTTGCAGCGCTCTCTTCCTGTTTAAATCAAAACATTTGGATTTTGAATCAGTTAGCTTCAGCCCAAGCATTTTGAACTTTTCACAGTCCAGACAAACACAAAGATGGGTGTAATTTGTGAAGCTGAGATGATTATAGAAATACTTGATTCTTTCAAATGGTTGATTTGACAATGAACCAGAAAACCTGCCACCATATAGGGAACCATGTAAATGTTCTGCATTGTTAACATATGTTTCCTTTTCTCTCCCGTCTTTTCACAGTGGATTGTTATTGCTTTATAAGGGTTTACTTTATTAATTTCCTGCTCATTCATGAGCTAACAATGTCTTTGTAAAGAAACTTACATATCTTCAGGAGGCTGCCCTTGATTTGCAATTCTCTCTCTTGTTTCCCTTCATTTCTTTTTAACTCATCTTACAAAGGGTAAATTCTGACAACATTGGCTCATTGGTTCTTTTTACTGCCATGTCTTATAAGCATCTTGAACTCCCGGGCAGATAAAAGGAATAATCAATGGACGCCCCAAGAAGAAGAAGAACATGGGGTAGTTACTCTCTGGAGGCTTTGGATCCAGACCTCTCCTGACACATCGGGGACCCTTCTTCTTAATGCTTTACATCACACCTGTGCAACACCACACTGCAGCCTAAGACACCACCCGCTGTTACGTGGTGTCTTTCTCTGCTTGCCAGGGAGGTAGAAAATTCTCCCTCTTTTTGGTTGTATTCGCTTTTAGTATTTAAAAAAACTCTCTCCTAATAAAAGTGTCTACAATTCAGATTTTCCTTGTTCCCTGCCTGGTCCCCAGTTCCCTGTAGATCATTCACACTCTCGCCTTATACAGTTTTTCCTTTTTCAAGCTAGAGAAAAATCGAACTGCTCGCAACTCCTGCTTGGCTATAGCTTCCTCTGCATGGAATTGCTTTGGTGAGGCAAGGTGACAGTAGGGCACAGAGCTTGGACTTCAGGGTTAATGGCTCCGGTCACTTAGTAAGGGTATGTGCTTAGGCAAGCCATTTAAACTTAAATGGCCTTGTTTTCTTACTTATAAAATGAGAATGAGAAGGATACCAGCCTTGGGAAGATGGTGTGAGAACAAACGAAGTATATGTACAAACTTGTTCTAAGTCTGTGAAGTGTCTAAGTGTTTCTGTTTGTTCTGTTTTGTTTTTCCAAGATGTTATGGTGTTTCCACACTGACAGTAAAAAGGGCTGCATGACACAGGTTCAAAGCCTGTGTATGGTTTGACCCTATCTCTTACTGTTTTATTGAGGTAAAGATATGTCATACTTGTCACTGAAAACAAAAGGGAGCAAAAATCCTTTTTATGATGTAGCTGAGTTAACATTCACAACGTCTTAGTTCCAGGAATATAAGCTTGCATGAAACAACAGTAGCCTCAAATATGATTTTAAATTTAACAGTCACCTCTAGTGCCTCAAAAGACTGGGTGGAAATAATTTTCTCACTAAATTTCCATAATAGAAGCTGCAGAAGAATTCCATTACTGTAGGACTGCGAAAGAAGCAATTACGTTCATTGCCATTTTTATGTATTCGTGTGTTACCAATTTAGAAAGTGTCACCCTGGTGCAAGTCTGTAGAGCCAATGATGGAAACGACGAGAGAGTTCTTTCAGCAGTTCCAAGGAGGCCGCCTCCTCCTTCCAGTTCTTAATGCTGCACGTTTTGATGAAGGCCTGCGGAAGTCTCCGCACCTCACTCTTCAGTAGAGTGAACAGTTTCTTTCTCATGTCATATACTAAAGTCCTGTCTTGGGCATCTGTTCTTACGTTTCTTGTTGCCTTTGATTTTGCCACTCTGATTCCATCCCCTTCATTCAGATCATTCCATATCTTCATTCAGTGCTTTTTGCCATTTTCAACTCTTTTCTCCCTCCTGCTAGTGAGTATTGCTTGAGTTGGTTCACCCATCAGATATCCAAACCTTTCTTTAGTAACAGCCTCTGAATGTCATGGATGATGTTGTTGGCTGTCTGGTGCTTAGCTAGCCTCAGTTCCTGGGCAAGACAGCTCATGACATCTTCCCATCAGCCTGCTGGGATTGGGAATCCTCAAGACAGTGCTACAGGTCGTGCATCTGTGGCTGTTTAGACTGGCATCTGACATGCCATTTACGCCAAATTCCACGTGGAAAATTGCATATTGAGATATGTTAGTTTTCTTTTTTTTTTTAAGATTTTTAAAATTTATTTGACAGACGGAGATCACAAGTAGAGAGGCAGGCAGAGAGAGAGAGACACGAGGAGGCAGGCGCCCTGCCAAGCAGAGAGCCCGATTTGGGGCTTGATCCCAGGACGCTGGGATCATGACCTGAGCCGAAGGCAGAGGCTTTAACCCACTGAGCCACCCAGGTACCCCGACACATGTTAGGTTTTAAAGATTTTTTTTCTTATTTTTTGCTGTGAGTTTTTGTGTTCATTTCTGCACATCTAACTATTCAACTTTTTTTTTTTTTTTTTTTTTTCCTCCCCTGGTGATTGAGGAAAGCAACACTCCTATTGATTTGAAAATTTAGGTCTTGGATCTTGGCATAGATTCTTACTAAAGCCATCACTTTTTTATTTGTTACCAAATTCTAACACAAATTGCTTTTTGCATTTTAATGTTGGTTGAATGTTTAAAAGGAATCAGTTTATAATTACCAAAGTGTATTTATTCAGTGCTTCCACATAGGGCATTGTATTATTTCTTGTATAAAGCCACCTGTACAAAATCTTATATGTGTGTGTGTGTGAGAGAGAAAGACAGAGAAAAGGTGTGTGTGTGTGTGTGTGTGTGTGTGTGTGTGTGTGTGTGAGATTATATATTGAGGGAGAAATGAGAAAAATCCAGTACATACATACATACATACATCCAACATGAATAACTATTTTATAATACTTACGTATAAGTGTATGAGTTTAAACACATAAACATCTATATTAACTTATTTATACGAATATTTATACATACACAAAATACCATACTTCTGTTCTAGTTGGTAATTTTAGAATTAATACTGCCATTGAACTAACCATTTTATCATGGGAGTCAGGAACAATGGTGGGGTAATCAGGAATTTGAGTGATGGAATGGGTAGCAATTTCATGACAAACTTTGAAGCAGTTTTCCAGTCATCGGCATTAACAATTTGGCAAAGAAGTTTTCCAGAAATGATACCACATAATAACATTTCTCAGAAAAATTACATGATGAAACATTTCCAAAAATATGGTTGAGCATCTCAGTACAGAATTATGAAACAGGTGTTACTGACTAGAAACCGTGGCTCCTACCATGTCACAGATGGGCTGGAGGAAGTTGGAGGCAAATTTCTGAAATTTTTGGAGCACCTGCTTCATAAGGGTTTAGGCTGTATTTAAACAGAAACAAATGTGAAAACCCAACACAAGATTAATCATATCATTAGAAAAATGTATTCTTCTTGTCTGGGATAAATGTAAAAAGAACTGAACTGTTTGTTGACTTATTTAACCCAAGAAACTGATCCTCATCCACTGATCCTCCTTTCACGTGAGAAACACATCACCATCCTATGAAAAACATTATTACAACATTCTTGAGACTAAAGCATCAATTCCGGAGACTTTTCTGTAAAAGTTACTGCTAAAAACGGAGCAATTAGTTGCTGTCTACATACTGAACGACTTTAATTGAAGGATATAATCATGGGATACTTAGATGTTGTGTCAGCTTTTAGATAACTCTACACACACAGAACGTTTACATTGCATAGAAAATGGATTTCCTTTGTGGACAGACTTTTACGAGTGCAAAGCACTGACTCCCAATTTAAACTATAACGTTCTTTGAGTTGAAAGGCAAGAAAAATAACTTCTTGGGCCCCATACAACTGCTCATCTTCAACAACCTCAAATTTTTAGTCTGTCTCCAGGATCTTCTGTTTCTCCCATCAGTAGTCGTCCTGCCAACCTGGCTGTCAGGAGCCTCCATCACTCCTGTTTCTCTAGCCTAATAAATGTGGATTTTGTGACTGCCAGAATCTCATTAAAGAGTAAGAGTGCACTTGACTGAGTCCAGATCTCCACAGATAACTCACGGCCGTCAGCCAGCCCCCTGTGGGCCCTTGTCCCTGCTTCCTTTCCTCCGCTCTATGCGCCATGTAGATTTTGGGGGCTGACTGTGTCAACATTCAGGACCCAGTTGACCTGAGTATAGTCTTAATTCGTAAACACATGCCCAGTGTCTATGGAGTGAGACTCCTCCTAGGAACCCAGGTGGGTCAAGAGCTGGGTACAGGGCAGCTGAGACACTGTGTGTGTGCTGACGAGACAGCAGAAAGTAGTGAGGACTCTGAGCTGGACTGTACCCGCCCCACCAAGAGGGGAATCGCTCTCCTCTATCTGGTTACTACCATGCAAGTATGCCACTGCATTGCTAGAACTTCTAAGTTTTGTTTTTTGTTTTTTGTTTTTTTCATTTTATTTTATTTTTTTCAGTGTCCCAAGATTCCTTGTTTGTGCACCACACCCAGTGCTCCACGCAATACGTGCCCTCCACAATACCCACCACTAGGCTCACCCAACCCCCCACCCCCATCCCCTCCAAAACCCTGTTTGTTTCTCAGAGTCCACAGTCTCTCATGGTTCGTCTCCCACTCCAATTTCTCCCAACCCACTTCTCCTCTCCATCTCCCAATGTCCTCCATGTTATTCCTTACGCTCCACAAGTTAAGTTGAAACCATACGATAATTGACTCTTTCTGCCTGACTTATTTCACTCAGCATGATCTCCTCCAGTCCTGTCCATGTTGATACAAAAGTTGGGTATTCATCCTTTCTGATAAAGGCATAATACTCCATTGTATCTATGGACCACACAGATGAATATCCATTCATCCGTTGAAGGGCATCTTGGTTCTTTCCACAGTTTGGCGACTGTGGCCATTGCTGCTATGAACACTGGGGTACAGATAGCCCTAGAACTTCTAAGTTTTATGAGAAACCAGAGGTTTGTTTTTCTTAATGAGAGCTCTCCAGAACTTGAAGTGGTGGCTTGATCTTTAACTTTTGATTTCAGAAAATTTGAGATACAGTTAGAAGTAGACAGTAACTGATGGATTCTCTTAGACCCATCACCCAGCTTCTCATTGCCTTGCTGCCCGCACCTCCTCCTCCTGCCCTCACAGCTGTGGTAAAGTCTGGACGTCATCATATTTCATCTGTGTACCACATGACCATCATCACATGCCCGTCCAAAAAGCAAAAAGGATAATTCCTTCATGTCTTTAAAATTCAGGGACTGTTTCCATTTCCTCAACTGTCCTAAATATGGAGGTTTTGTTTCTTCACTCTATTGTCATTGAAATTCAGACATGGTCCGACTATTCCATTGGGCTAGTATCTCATAAATTTCTTTTCATCTGTAGGTTTCCTCTCCCTTTTTTTTTTCCCTTTGCAATTATTTGTTGGAATAATTTTTTTTTGATCCTGTAGAATTTTTGACAGTATGAATTAGGCTGATTGCATCCCTGAGGTTTTGCTTAATATATTCTCTTGTGTTTCCTTTATAGTGGCAAAGAGGCTTAATCTGATACAGGTTTGGTTTTTCTGCAAAGGTTTTCTAGATAGTGGTATTTGTCTTTCATTAGGAGTGCATAATGTCTGCTTATCTCTTTCTGTACTGACCATTGCCTATGTCCTTCCATTCATGCAGAGGTGGCTATGATATTTTAAAACACTATTTCTTCCCTCTCCTCCACACATATCTTGGGCCAGATGTAACCCATGAGCCACCAGCTGTAGAATCTAGTCCATCTATTAAAGTTTAGGCAGGAACCCTGCCCATGTCTGAAATGTTCTGTGATTCATTTTCCGAGTGAGCCTGTCCTAGTACAGGGAAATGATTTGCCAGATCTACCATTCACTTTTCTATTATCATGTTCCTACTTAGAGTGACTGCAGAAAGGGACATTTCTTTTCACTAGGTTGGGTGAAGAGCATCTTAGTAAGTATCCTTTGTTTGGATCAGATGTCATGGTGTCCTTCCATAAGGCACATAAGTCAAATACCCAGAAAATATGCATCTTACCTTGTAACATAGAAATAGGCATTAGTACCTTTACAATGCGTGACCTCTATAAATTGTTTGTGATTGACCTTGAGGAGAAAGGACCTTGCAAATCACATGCCTAATTAGGTCCTGTTTCCATAATGTTATCTGTAGCCATTGTTTATGTTCTTTGCATAGAGTGAGGAAAGATGAATTGTGGGTGTTCAGAGATGCGTTAATTGCGGGATGAGTATGGACAGTAGGCAATAGAGTGTAGCAGTTAGATTTCCACAACTGTGTTCAGTTGAGGCAACTTTCTAGCTGTGTAGCTTTGGGAAATTTACTTCCCCTCTGGATTCTGAATTTTCTTCCATCTTTAATGGGACCTCAAGAATTAAGGGCTTGAGACATTTACTGACTCTGATTAGCTTAATCCTTGCATCTTTATTAGGCAACAGTTTCTTTGTTGTCTTTTTAAAAGAGCAGATTTTCAAGTTGGATTTTTTTTAATGCTCAAGATTAAGAAAAAATGAAAAAACAGAAAGGAAGATGGTAAAAAACCAACATAACCCTCCTTTATGCTATTTGAAAGAAGCATAGTTTTATAACAGTACGTTGTATGCTTGTTGTTCGTAGCTGGTCTGGAGAAATCGGGCCCATATGTTTAGCACTGAGCCTGGCATTTTAGTGCGTGGAGTACACAGCTTTTAATCTTGGTGCCAGGTGCAAAAGTAAAATGTTCACATGGATAAACTGTACCTGAACATTGTTTTTCTTGAGTCAGAGATGCACTTGGCAGTAGCAGGCATGTTTCTGTGTGTGAAATGTCCGTATTTCCACCCAATTCTCTGCGGTGTTCGAAACAGTTTAAAGATGGTATCTGTTCTACCCCATTGTTTATACTTCTCGCTCCAGTCTGTAGACTCTGAGCACTGCTTCTTGTCTCTTTTCGGCCATTCCCTTACTCTCCTTTCAGCCTCCTTCCGCACAAAGTCTTCTGGAAAGTGGCCTGATGGTTTAGAATGTATATTTGAAGACCGATTTGGGGATAAGGATATTTCCTTCTCTCCTTCTTTCCATCCTTTCTTCCTTCCTTCCTTCCTTCCTTTCCTTTTTTAAGATTTCTGTATTTCAGAGAGAGGGGGGTAGGGGAGGACTGGCGGAGCACAGGGAGAGGGAGAGAGAAACTGAAGCAGACTGTACACTCCCATCTCACAACCCATGAGATTGCGACCTGAGCCGAAACCAAGAGCCAGGAGTCAGGCACTTCACTGTCTGTGCCACCCAGGCGGCCCAAGGATATTTTCGTATTCAGCGTATTCTTTTCCAGTCAGTAGACCCTGCCTATCGTAATGCGTTCGGACAACTAGTAGAAGGAAAGAATGAGTTGAGGCACATTCCCTGCTGGGGTCATTATCTCCTGAGGATGCTGGCAGTAGTTAAGTCAGGACAAGACCAGTAGATAAGAGAAGGAGTCATGGTGTGTACTATGTAAATTCTGTTCTTCTTTGGAAAGCCCTGATCTTCTGGGCTGGGCCACCACCACTGACCATCTTTGTCTCTTTGCTTTCAGGGTGTACGCCATGTACAATTCCGTAAAGGGATCCTGCTCCGAGCCTGTTAGCTTCACCACCCACAGCTGCGCACCCGAGTGTCCCTTCCCACCTAAGCTGGCACACAGGAGCAAAAGTTCGCTAACCTTGCAGTGGAAGGTGGGTAGCGCATCATGCACAGTCTGACATCTAGCCATTTGAAGCATCCCTATTTAGCACTACAGTCTGGTGATCATGTTTGATTTTCTACATAGTAACTATGTAAAACAATTGATTATGATATTGAAAGTAGTCGGTCTGTCTGTAAAAACTGGGCAAAGCGGTAGGAGGTAGAAGTGCAAAAAATAGTTGTAGCTTTCTCTGCAGGGGTAAATCTTTCAGGTTCACGAGCAATACGTTATACGTGGTATGAATTCTTAAGATACTTGGATTTCATCACTTTCTAATGGTTTCGTTCATTTCAACAGACGTTTGAACTGAAGACTCTAGTAGAAAGTTCTCATGAAGAGAGATTTAGAGATAAGTTGGTTTTAGGCTCCATGGGCTTGTTTCAGTGGCAACTCTAAAATGTTTAATATTTAAAACAGCCTAGAATGTTAAGTGTTCTAACTATATTAAGACTTAACTTTCACTGATGAGGCCTTAGATCAGCTGGGGCTCCTCATTATTTTTTAAAGTCTGAATTGTATAGTCGTTTTCATAAAATGCAATTTCCTGGCTACAAATAACTCTTGCCAAAGAGAGGTCTTTATGGCGTAGCCACACAGTTGTGTGTTCCCAAGAAAGTAGCAGATTCTCTGTAATACCAGTCTCTATGGTAATTATTTCTCTATGTTTCTATTTAAATGGAGCTTAAGATACGAAATTTTTAGAGGGAGAGCTAAAGAGTTGTGGTGTTTGGGGAGTACACTCACGTGTGAAAGAAGTAAGGGGACTAGAAAGATCTTGTATTGGTGAAGACCTACTTTGTTCCCAATGTAGGAGGTTGAATTTGTGCAGGGCATCCATTCAGGCCTTTGAGAGAAGTGGTTAGCAGTAAAGCCCGGGCTTCTGGAGACCCCTCTTGTGTGGGGAGCTGCATTCTTATAGCCACTGGCCAACATGGAGTGTGTTGCTTGGCAAAGGCAAAGTTTAGACTGGCTTAGAATCTGAACTATTTTATTTTCCTTCCTGGCTTCCAGGGATAATCCAGGTCAGTGATTCCCTACCTTTTCAGAGTTGTAACACCCAACTGGTCATCATTGTTGAAGTCTTTGGAGATACACATCCATTTTAAAACATGGTCTCTACTTGCACATGTACATACATGAACATATCTTTTTTAAAGGAAAGAATTAAAATTCATTTTGTTTGGAAAATAGAAGAAATCTTCTTAAGATTACCAGAGGGACCCCGGGGTCTTATAAACCTAAAGTTGGGAATCACTGATAACATACTCGGCTTAAAACCTGGATGAAATTCAGGTCTTAGAGCAGCACCTTCAAGAAAAAGATTACTTATTTGGAGGAAAACATTTCACGTTGTCTTTCTCCCTTTATTTAACTGTGAATCAAAAACATACTCTTTCTTGTTCCATGCAGTCAAGTACAAACTTGAAAGTTCTGGATTCAGTTCACTTTTCATTTAAATGTCCTTAAAACAGATTTCCTGATCACAGTGTACCAGCTGGGGGCCCGAGGACAGGGGGACAGGGCTCGACTCCCGACCTGTCCTTGAATCCTCAAACACATGGACAGTCAAGATCTTCTCACTTCTTGTTTGTCAGCAGTAAGAGACAGGGCAATACAAAAACCAAAGTCACTGCTCCCACCCTCAAGTTATTAAGAACCTGGTGGTGGGGCAGGATATCATAGAAGAAATGACCGAAGCAGTAGTTTCTCTAGAGAAATTTCTAAACATCATTAATAGAGTTCTTATCTTAGAAATGGGTTCTCCTCTAAAATTTTGATTTTGTCCGTTATTTAGAACTCGAGATGTATCCCTGTCTCCCAAAACGAGCCACAAAAAAGCCTGAGATCACAGTTCCGTAGAACCTAGAGCACTCCCCTGAAATCTGGGTTTGAGACCAGATATGACCCAGAAGGCGAAAGCAGGGGAGAAGGGTTTCTTCATAAATTTAACTAATACTTGCTGAGCCCTTGATGATGATTTGTTATTCACAAAAATAAAACAACAGTTATTGTTCCTGCCCAGTAGTTGAGTAGGTGACATATATAGTCTCCCAGTGACCTACCACATCATTTATTCTCGGAACATGCAATTAAATGTGATAGCAAGCGGATAACAAAAGACCACACTTGACAAACAGCCGAGCTGGACTTTAGATGCAGTTGTGGCGGCTCCGCTGCCTTTAGCTAGGGACCGGACAGTGTAGTTGTGAAGCTCTTGTTTTTCCTGGGGGAAGGCCAGGCACAGACACATTGGTGCAGTGGGGAGCCCTGGTCTCCTCCTCCTTCTAGCTGCCTTCTCCTCCCTCCATCTTAACTACGCTCGTGCAGTGAGGGACCCCACGGCAGCACCCCCTTCTAGCAGGGCTAACCCCATAAAACACTCTTCTTGAAAGTTCTCCACTCCCCTTCCCGTGGTCTAATGCCCATTTTCTCAGTGAAATCGACCTCCACATGCTTTGAAGAGGAAAGCAAACGATGAGACTTCTTTTCCCTAACATGTGAAGAGCTAATTGCTCCTAGTAACCTCCCAAGAGATCTCATTTTTTTCTCATTTTTTTTTAAAGGGAAATCTCAGTGGCACAGAAGGCTTTCTAATCTTAAGCACTTAAAAAAAAAAAAGTCCTCTGTGGAGGAAGTTACAAAAAAATATATACTCTTAACCCTGAACCTGGCTGCTCAGGTTTACCCACTGGACTCCAAGCAGCATCTACATTTCCCAGCTGCCTTTTTTCTCCCCCTCTTCCCGAAGTGCCTCTTGAAAGTCTTATCCCCAGAGGAAGTAGAGCACAGTGTGGGTGTAAAGGTAGAGGCGGAGGGGAAAGAAAGCAGCTTTGGCTCTTTGTGGGGCATGATTTTGTAGTAGTGGGGCTCTCTCTACAGTTGAATTGTATGAAAATTCATTTGTAATAATGTTTCCCAAGGTAATGCGGGAGCCACCAGGGGTATCCGCCCAAAGGGTGAGCACAGGGCTAGCATAAATAGTGTATTTGAACAAAGCCGAGAGCTCGGAAGTTTTGTCTGCGAACTGCTTTCTCTAATCTCATTGTACTGTTTTCCCTTTTTTTTTAGGCACCAATTGATAATGGTTCAAAAATCACCAACTACCTTTTAGAATGGGATGAGGTAAGCGTATTTTCATATCCATCCATCTGAAACACCATTTCAAAAATAAAATTGCTGAACAAATACCATTTTATTCTTTTTTAAGATGTGCTAAACACATGGGGGAAAAAGAACGTAAGTAGTGAAAAATTTAAACCCATAGTATTGACTGTGGAAAAGGAAGATGGACGAAAGCAGTGTAATGAATTATATTAAATTGCATTAAATGTATTTAGTAGGCTTATTTGCAAGAAATGCTACAGAAAGAAAAGACAGGGTCTTACCTCTCATGGAATCCCTGGTGCCTAGCCAGCCATCAATTCCTATTAAGAATCAACTGCTTTGTTACCTTGACCGCTCAGGGCCATTCTGCATAGATGGTTTTGATAAGGTAAACCACAGTGTGACTCGGGAAGCATAATTTGTTTCTTCTTTTTGAAGCCATGGATGTACTTTGGTGTTGCACTGTTGGGCATTCTCTGTGGGAGAGTTGGAGCCATGCCTGGAGGTCTCACTCTCCCAGAGGCAAGTGTGATCACCCTGCGGGCTAGACTGTCCCGTAACAGGCGCCCTGTGCCCCTGTGCTGTCTCTGTCACCAGAGGCCCTATAACAGTATCCATGGTGAAGTTTCCTTACTCATGAGCCCACTCTGGGCTGAATGGTGACCCTGTGCATTTCTGGCCGTGCTAACACTACCCGCAGAATCTCACACAGGAAATAACTGGATGCAGAAAGAAGCCTTTCGTTTCTAAAAAGGAACCGTACTTTTTGTTCCTGTAGATTTTAATTCTATTCACTCATTTACCCTCGCTCTATTCTGTCTTGCTGTGAGTGAGCAAGTAGACGAAGGGTTTCGAGAAGAAATGTAGACGTTGGGGAGAAATGCAAGTTAACTAGTTTTTGGGACTTAAATTTAGGGAGATTTTAAAAGATTCAGAATTCAGGCTTGGGTAAAAAGGGACTTGTTGAGTGTGGAAAAAATACTTTCACCAAATGTAAAATGAAATTGAACAAAACTCTCACGATGAAATTTTGATGTGAGAAAGGGGGCCCTCCATCACTTTGGGCATTAGCGTGTTTTCCCATCTGGGTTGCATCTGAAAGCTGGAGTCCAAGTTACCGAAGAAACAATCTGTTGTTCGGAGATCCTTGTGAATAGTTCCTGCGTACAGATGGGTGAAATCCCAGACTTACTTGACCAGGATATTTTACAGATTAGGTGGATTTCATTTTAAGGTGGTTTGGTTGGAAAGTGAAGCCACCCTGACAGCCCTTGTGGAAAGAGACTTCTTCTAGGCAGTCCAGAAGGCTGGAAAGGAACCTGACTGACTTGCAGGCACATGGCGACATCTTGCCATCTCCTCTGCGTCCCAAAGGACAAGTGAGAGTTCGACAGAAAGTGTTAAATGTGTGTTGGTGTGTTGCACCAGCTTGATGCTTTTTCTCTTATCTTGAGATTTTATATCAGGATAGAATTTACCACTAAAGAGGAGGCACTTTTCATTTCAGATCTTCCCCGAGCTCTGTGTACAGTGCGGGCTTATATGTGTTTGTGTGTGCGTGTCTCCCATGGGGTGTTTTCTTTGTTGTTTTGTTTTTTGGGTTTTTTTTTTTTTTTTTTAATTTTTGCTGCTTTGGACCGTGGCCTCATAAGTTAAGTAAGGTCAGAGAAGTTGAGTGTTTGAATGGGAAACCTCCAAGGAAAACCCAGGTGCTACAGGAAATGGTGATGGTGACTCAGTTGTTGGCCACCTTCCCTTTGAATTTGGAATGGAAGTGTCCTGGCAGGGTGCGTAGAGGAAATAAGCTACAGCCGCAGATGAAATGGAGAAGCTTTGTCTGATGACCGTGTATAATCAATAGCACCCACTACAGACTAGTGGCCACACAATGTTAAACTGTTTATTTTTGGCCTTCTCCTATCTTTTCCCTGCTTGCTCTCTTTCCACTATTGCCTTGCTCCCATCTTAATTCTTCAGCCTTCCCTTTCCTCTTCATTTTCTCTCCACCTTCTCATTCCTGCTGGTGTTGGCCCTGTTGAGCTTTATGGAAGACTCCAGGTTAGTGGACTCTCACCTACTATATAGGCCTTTTGCCAGTAGGAATCCTTTTGTATTCCGTGGCCTAATACTCACCTTGTAGAAAAACTTCTGGACCCCAGACTCTGCGAAGCGCTTCCTAGCCTTTAAGTATTATGAGCTCCCTGGAAGGAGAGTATGATCGAAGGAACACCAAGATTAGGAGCTGCGGATTCTGTTCCAGGCTTTACATGCGCAGCTTAACCCTTCCAGTCCTCAGTTTACCCATGAGCTCATGTATATTTACACCACTGAGACTCTCCCCAGACTCCTTATTTAGGATTGTCCCTTGTGATAAGAGTATGTTTTAGGGTCCTTTGCCTGTTCATTTATTAGATATTTCAACATTTGTGGAACAAACCCTCAGTGCCTCAACACTGTATAGTGTCCTCGGAGGGATCTCTGACAGGGAAGGTAGTGGTCTTACCCTGAGAGCTGAAAAAGCTAATGGAATGCTGTCCTCTAAAACTTAAAAACAGATGTAAATAAAACAGACTTAACCACATGCTTCTCAAACTTATTTCCATCCAGTAGCTCCTTTGCTTGATACTGTGCCTCTCCTTTTCAGTCCCTCTAAAGAAAGGTTGCAAAATGATATCATTGGGATTCCTGGCAGTGAGAATGGGAGCAGTAGTGACCAATCCATTTCTGTCACTTCAGAAGTAAGGCTCCTAACAGGACTAACAGTTGGTGTTTCTAAATTTGGGGCCAGGTTAGGGATCAGTAGTCCTGAGGCCATTCACTTGTGTTGGTTTTTGCATCCCACATTCCCATGCTACTCAAGCCTTGACTTCCTGAAGGGAGAAGATCAAATGCTCAGAGAACAGCATCTGCCCTCCAGGAAGTTTGAGGGCGTGAGGCTCTGGCTATCCCTTTAGAACCTTCTCCTGGAAGTCTCTGGAGTCAGGTATACCTGGTAACAGGGACTTTCTCTAGAATATGCCCTAGTGGAGTATGGTGGGGCAGCAGAATGGGAGCGGGTGTTTGCTAGAGTTATTCCCCTCCCCACCCCGAACCTCCTCCAGAGCCCAAGCTCTCCTCTCCCAGAGCATCTCTCCAGACCAGCCATATACCCATAAGCCTCTCTATTGTCCAGGTGGCTGGAAGGACAGAAGAACAGTAGGTTGCAGGAGGAGCAGATCCCTACCTGAGAAGGAGAAAGGGGTTACTCCGAGTCTTGAAAAAGGTTGTGTTCAGGATTAGCACTCCACCCTGTTTCTGATCTGACAGCTGGTCTGAGAATCATGGCTTAGAGATGGCCCCATCCATCTGGGTGTCCATATATATATATATATATATTTTTTTTTTTTTTTAAAGATTTTATTTATTTATTTGACAGGCAGAGAGGCAGGCAGAGAGAGGAGGAAACAGGCTCCCCGCTGAGCAGAGAGCATGATGCGGGGCTTAATCCCAGGACCCTGGGACCATGACCTGAGCCGAAGGCAGAGGCTTTAACCCACTGAGCCACCCAGGCGCCCCCATTTTTTTTTTTTTTTTTTTTTTTTTAGTGTACTACAACACTGGTTAGAATACTCGGGATATTTTGTTGTTGCTCTTGTGCAGTTTTTTAATCACCATTCCAATAAAAACTATGGGTGGGAAATTTTGAAAGAGCAGCAAGTCCCTACTGTCAAGGTTCTTAGAGAAAGACCTTCACTAATGGAAGAGCAGCGGCAGAGAGATCAGTGAGTACCAGGCCTATTTCTGCTGGGACCTGGAATCCTGTCTGGAGTTGACTATGGGAAGAGCTAATAGTTAATCAATAGCTAACTGCTGCTCTTCTCTAAGGGCAGGTATGGCCCTGATTGGAAAGAGAAAGCACAAACCAATTACCCATTACCGCTCAGAGGGAAGCTGATTCTCTCTCTTCTGAATTTGTCGTCATTCCTGTTGCCTTGTTGTTCCACAGAATTCACTTGGAAATTACTAGTAGTTCTGCAAGAGGTTTAGCTATCTCCTTTTCTCTGTTGATAATTGTAACTGGATAGTCCCTTAAGTTTTAAGACTGTGTGGGAATAACTCTGACGGGGAGATAGTAATGCACCAGTAAAAATGGAACACACAGGTGTCACTAGCTTTTCGGCTGTGGCCATCAGTGAAACAGGTCCGTTCTCATAATGTGGAACGGTGTGCACGTGGCTGGTCACGTCCCCCTGTTGTTGTGACTGAGGTGACTGGTGGCGTTCTCAGTCATGGACGTGAGAGAGTTGACCTTGCTTTTTTGTTGGCCTTCAGCCACTGTGTTCACCTCCAGAAGCTTCCCATAAGAAAGGCAGAAGGCTATTTTCAAGGTAGTTTTCTACTGGGCCACCCGATGAGACATCATTGTGTTTTTATCCCTTTCTGATCACAGTGTGGTCGCTAACCCCACATTTACCCCCATGTTTGCATTTTAATTTACAAGTCACAGTCATTCTGAAGGCTGGCAGAAAGCAGGCCCAGAGTCTCCTGAGGGTTTCTTTCTTATGCTAGATTAGAGTATTATACCTAGCACTGACTTTAAAGGGACAACGACAGACTTAGTCTTTCATGAATTTTAAGTTTTAGTTTAATCCAGAATTAAACTGTTCACTTTTTAACAGCAAAACAAGGCTTAGATGCTAGTTTTCTCAAGGTGGATGTTCTTTCCCACAATGGAGAGACTTTGGAGTAGGACTTTAGGAAGGAGGAGCCAGTGCTTAAAGCTCATGACCCCATTCAGGGGCCACCCCCGAGCTAATTGTTTTGACCTGCCCATATCCCTTTCTTGGGCATGAACCTGAGGTAAATTGGCTGACCTCCTGTTGCTTCATCTGCTTGATGATGCTGAGTTATCTAGTAGGGGTGGGAGCTTTTTTCTAGAAGCAGTTAAGAGGGATGGATTGAGGACACTGATATCTCTAGGGTAGGGAGGGCTCTTCCCAAAAGAATTAGGAACCTTGCGTTGACTGGTGCTTCCAGGC